TTCTGTGCAGGCACCAGTTAATGTTTGTAGTTTATGAGGTACTAATACCAACGCCACACTTCATTGTCTATTCTGTGCAGATACCAGTTAAAGTTTGTAGTTTATGAGGTACTAATCCCAACGCCACACTTCATAGTCTATTCTGTGCAGGCACCAGTTAATGTTTGTAGTTTATGAGGTACTAATACCAACGCCACACTTCATCATCTATTCTGTGCAGGCACCAGTTAATGTTTGTAGTTTATGAGGTACTAATACCAACGCCATACTTCATTGTCTATTCTGTGCAGGCACCAGTTAAAGTTTGTAGTTTATGAGGTACTAATACCAACGCCACACTTCATTGTCTATTCTGTGCAGGCACCAGTTAATGTTTGTAGTTTATAAGGTACTAATACCAACGCCACAACAGCTCCCTCATTCTGTGCAGGCATCAGTTAATGTTTGTAGTTTATGAGGTACTAATACCAACGCCACAACAGCTCCCTTATTCTGTGCAGGCATCAGTTAATGTTTGTAGTTTATGAGGTACTAATACCAACGCCACACTTCATTGTCTATTCTGTGCAGGGTTTATGAGGTACTAAAACCAACACCACACTTCATTGTCTATTCTGTGCAGGCACCAGTTAATGTTTGTAGTTTATGAGGTACTAATACCAACGCCACACTTCATTGTCTATTCTGTGCAGGCACCAGTTAATGTTTGTAGTTTATGAGGTACTAATACCAACGCAAACACTTCATTGTCTATTCTGTGCAGGAAACCAGTTAAAGTTTGTATCTATGAGGTACTAATACCAACGCCACACTTCATTGTCTATTCTGTGCAGGCACCAGTTAATGTTTGTAGTTTATGAGGTACTAATACCAACGCCACACTTCATTGTCTATTCTGTGCAGGCACCAGTTAAAGTTTGTAGTTTATGAGGTACTAATACCAACGCCACACTTCATTGTCTATTCTGTGCAGGCACCAGATAATGTTTGTAGTTTATGAGGTACTAATACCAACGCCACAACAGCTCCCTTATTCTGTGCAGGCATCAGTTAATGTTTGTAGTTTATGAGGTACTAATACCAACGCCACAACAGCTCCCTTATTCTGTGCAGGCATCAGTTAATGTTTGTAGTTTATGAGGTACTAATACCAACGCCACACTTCATTGTCTATTCTGTGCAGGGTTTATGAGGTACTAAAACCAACACCACACTTCATTGTCTATTCTGTGCAGGCACCAGTTAATGTTTGTAGTTTATGAGGTACTAATACCAACGCCACACTTCATTGTCTATTCTGTGCAGGCACCAGTTAATGTTTGTAGTTTATGAGGTACTAATACAAACGCTACACTTCATTGTCTATTCTGTGCAGGCACCAGTTAAAGTTTGTATCTATGAGGTACTAATACCAACGCCACACTTCATTGTCTATTCTGTGCAGGCACCAGTTAATGTTTGTAGTTTATGAGGTACTAATACCAACGCCACACTTCATTGTCTATTCTGTGCAGGCACCAGTTAAAGTTTGTAGTTTATGAGGTACTAATACCAACGCCACACTTCATTGTCTATTCTGTGCAGGCACCAGATAATGTTTGTAGTTTATGAGGTACTAATACCAACGCCACAACAGCTCCCTTATTCTGTGCAGGCATCAGTTAATGTTTGTAGTTTATGAGGTACTAATACCAACGCCACAACAGCTCCCTTATTCTGTGCAGGCATCAGTTAATGTTTGTAGTTTATGAGGTACTAATACCAATGCCACACTTCATTGTCTATTCTGTGCAGGGTTTATGAGGTACTAAAACCAACGCCACATTTCATTGTCTATTCTGTGCAGGCACCAGTTAATGTTTGTAGTTTATGAGGTACTAATACAAACGCTATACTTCATTGTCTATTCTGTGCAGGCACCAGTTAATGTTTGTAGTTTATGAGGTACTGATACCAATGCTATACTTCATTGTCTATTCTGTGCAGGCACCAGTTAATGTTTGTAGTTTATGTGGTACTAATACCAACGCCACACTTCATTGTCTATTCTGTGCAGGCACCAGTTAAAGTTTGTAGTTTATGTGGTACTAATACCAACGCCACACTTCATTGTCTATTCTGTGCAGGCACCAGTTAATGTTTGTGGTCTATGAGGTACTAATACCAACGCCACACTTCATCGTCTTTCAGAGGGAGAATGAAAAATGTAAGAAAATACCTTTAGTGTCTCCTTGGATATGATCTCCATCAGTTGCTGCTATTTCATCTTCACCATCGGAAAAGTGAAGCCTCAAGCTCTGGTCTAACTCATGTTGTGAAACATTTCCTGAAAAGTCACAAATTAACAGTGTACAATCTAACACAACATAACCCTTGATCCATTAAGGTCGTGGAGGCGTATCAATGGAAGCACTAGCAACCAAAACCCGCCATCTTTCTCTGTCTTCTGCTTGATGAACAAGTGTATGATAATTTAGTCCTGTCCATTTCTTGATGTTGTCATTTAAGATTCTTCTTTGCCTGATTCTTCTCCAACTACCCTCCAGTGTTCCTTGAAGAACAGTCTTTGCAATCAAATCATGTCTCACCAAGTGCCTGAACCAAGCTAGCTTGCAATGTTTCACCACTGCCTAGAGAGCTCCTGTGTCCTGCAAACTGGTATATTTTGTCCCTGACATATTTATTAGTTTTGTGTTTTAAGTAACTAATTCGTAAAATACGTCTGGAACATTTGCATTCAAAAGCTTGAATACTTCTTTCCATTTTCATAGTGAGAGTCCAACTCTCATATCTGTACAGAAAATAGATAATATCAGTGACTTGTACATAGTGATCTTTCTTAACTGTGATACAATTTTGATTTTGTTTAAATTCATCAAATGCTAAATCAAGCTGTAATCAAAGCATATGAAGTTTTCTTCTTCTTCTCTTCCTCAAGTCAAGAGCATCAACTTCTTTGTCTGGTACTGTCTCGCCCCGTAGAATGGCTGGATGAGCCAAGACCATCACACACAGCCCAAACTCCGTAGCTTCAACAATGATCTTTTTTTTTTTGTGTGTGTAAAAAACTGCACTTTTGAACATATGTGAAATGAACCTATGACCTTCAAAGCATGGGACAAACAGCTTGACCACTTCACTACAAAGACTCTTTTTCTTTTTCACTTCCTGTTACACTGCTTATGGTGTTGGGGGAGTTACAAGGATCTGGTACCTGCTTTTTGAGCAGCCTAGACCAATGACACATCATACTAATAATAACGCTACCCCAATATAGGTCGCAACTGTTATTTTGAAAGCCCATTCTGGCTGTCGTCAAGGACCCTAAACTAATATAACCTAAAGGTTGAACAGGGTTTCTGGGACTTCTACTTGGGCGATTCACATCCAAATGGTGGTACTTTATGTCAGCAGGTGTTTATTGCGTGTAGTGTGTTCCTGGTGAAGTTGTTCACTTTTGTGTTCTATACTTCTCCTTCAGCACTCCGAGCCCTTGAGGTTCATAGCTGCAGAAATCACCTGCTTCCATCATCTCTCAAAATGGCCTTGTCTCTCTCCAGTTAGGGGCTCAAAGTGTTTACAGGTCTGCATGTGTATTACGTCTTCACAGTCTTCTTGCTCTGCTATCATTCAATTCTTATTCATGCAATTTTTCTCTCTATTATGTGGTCATCATTATCATCATCATCAATTTCCACTTCTGTCATTAAGGTTTGTGGGGAGGAACAATCTGCGATCCATTGTTTGATGGGCAGCAATGGTTATTGTCATTCTGTGTCAATGTAGAAGCTCTTTAATGTCATCAGTCCATGTTCTCCTAGGATGGACTCTTGCTTTCACTTCAGATCTTTTTATGTGTAGTGCCCGAGTTGGTAGCTGTTCTGGCAGCATTCTTACTAGATGACCAAACCATTTGATCCTCTATCTCTCAACCTGGTGTTGTTCCTACAGTCTGTCGGATACTATCATTTCTAACTCAGTCTCGGATGGTCCAGTTACCTGGGATTCTCTATATGTCCCAAACACTGCAGTCTATTTAACCCTCACGATGCCAGTAATTAGTGATGATTTCTTATTCTTTTACTTCTTGTTCCTTGCTATAAACTTTGGTAGAAAGTTATGGTTGTTCATCCACTTCTGGATATTGGGCTTGTTCCAAAACTTGAGTTTTGCATGCAGATCTGTTTTACGGATCTGACTTATTTGTACACAAACTGTTAGTGCCTTGCTTCTAAGGCAGATGCACTCCGACTTCAAAGGATATCGCTAATTAATCAACACTTACAATAAGCTTGTTAAGGAGGTAGTTGGTCCATCGTTCTCTCCCTTTTCCTAATTTTATTTTTCTTCTTTTGTTGTCTCACTGTTACCAGGCTGTAGCCCAGTGTCGTGGTTTTCTTTATTTGTCTCGCACTTCTTGGGTGGCTTGAGTGATGGATTAGTTTCAACTTTTTTGCAGGTTTCGTATACACCATTTATCCATCTCTTTTTTGGTCTTCCTCTTGCCTTCCTCCCAGCTGTTCTACTGTTAAAAAGTCATTCAATGTTTCTTGAGTAGTAGCAGTCCTAATTTTACTGATCCTTAATCTACCCTAGACAGTTATTATGTAAACTATTTTCCTTAAACACGGTGACGATTCCCTTCCATAGAAAGTAAAGGACCCTTTTCTCCAGCAGTAGCACATCAGGCATGCGATAAAAGACTCATATGTTCATAGTCCCTTTAATCCTCAGTGAGTGACATGGTCAATATCACACCCGCCACCTTTACTTTCCAGGAAATTACCTGGTACCTATTTTCAAGGCTAGGTGGACCTAAGAGCCAACGTCCATTTAAAAAAAAAAAAACTTAATGTAAATCGGACCTAAGACCTTCAGAGGAGTGTCTAGTCACTGCGCTAGTGCAGAAACCCTGGGACAGAAAGGGTTAAGAATACACATGACTCTGAAGCGACCAATAAACATAACATGCACTGGCTGGTAGAGAATGAGTTAATTACCATGGTTAGGAACGTTATCATTATCACTATTGTCATCTGAAGACAGGAATCGAAGCCTTTTGGTGGTCTGGGCACTGGGTTCCACTGTTTGATTGTCTCTGTCCTTGCTGACTGTGAGCTGTTTGGCATCACTGGGAGAAAAACAATCACCGGTGAGAACAAAGCACCGGTGAGAACAAAGCTGATAATGATTATTGGTAGAATAGGCAATGTTGAATTAAGAATTGGCATCACAACACTCAGGACACTCCCTCCCATAAGTGCTCAGTCCCCCATCTTCAGCAGCAAGCGAAGAGTTCCAATTCTGATGGTGCCAGTATATTCATCTCATCCTTCCCCTGAGTGTTGAGCGTCGGCCAGATTCCCTGGTAACTCCTCGCAGCGCCTTTTCCCCCAGACTGTAATGATTCATCTGCGCATCCGCACTGTTCACCCATTTGGTAGAACAGGCAACAGAACACTAGTGGATAGCTTTCAAGGCCAAACATAAAATCTCCTGTATAGTATGCACTCTTCCTGTCTTGGTTCTGAAAACCCATCTTAAGGGTGGGTGTGTGTGAATATTAGTGAGTGGTTGCTCTCTTACATCAGGAAACAGGACAGTCCAGTTTTACTTCAGTTTTTGTCTTCAAGTTCAAATCAGCAACTGAGGCAATACTTTTTAAACACTGCCCTTGGCTGCCAGGTCAACACAGCCTAAAATGGGTACCATGAAATATCCTCGGAAGAAAAGGCAGTCAGGGTGATGATGACTACATCAATCACTGACTGTTAAATGGTATATACAAATATGCACTGATAGAGCCAGACTTTTTTCAAAAATGACCTTGGTTCCCAGGTCGACCCAGCCTTGAGTGAGTACTAGTTGCAGTCCTGGGAAGTAAAGGCGGCCGGCATGATGATGACCACATCACCCTCAACCAAGTGCTGAGTGGTCTATAAAATATAGGTCTGAGCACCAAGTATCATTCTCTACAAACCTACTGCTGAGTTCAGAAAGCATATGTCACAACAAACCTGCAACAATCAGTGTCCAGAAAGTTGCAATCGCTCTACTGTCACAACTGGTGTCCAGACAGTAACAGTCATTTTTAACCTGACACAATTCAAGTCCAGAAAGAAACAACCACTCTAAACCTGTCACAATCAGTGTCTAAAAAGTTGCAATCACTCAGTTGTCCACAAAGTAAAAGCCATTCTAAACCTGAACCAATCCAAGTCCAGAAAGTAACAACAACTCTAAACCTGTCACAATCGGTGTCCAGAAAACAAACTGTCACTATCTGAGAGCAGAAGACTGAAGTTACAAACCTGTCACTATCTGAGTGCAGAAGACTGAAGTTACAAACCTGTCACTATCTGAGTCCAGAAATCGCTTCTTAACACCAGCTTTCGCCAGACTTGATTTCGAACTCTGAGATTTAACAGCGGCCTCTGGCTCTCCTGAAATTTCTCTAGACGGCGAGATGGCGCTGGTGTGAAAGGAAACAAAGATCAGACAGAAAAATTACTTTTATTATAAAGGTAAAAAGTAGATAGTGTTAGTGAAGTGTTCAGTTTCTGCCATATTCAGACACAGACCGTGGCCTTCATGTGGAACGTCTTTTGAGTTGTGCTCCAGGAGTGCTGTTGTCTGCACTAAAATGGTGGGTGGCTGATTACATTCAGAATGAAATGCAATTTTGCAGGTGCGATGTTGGTTTTCATGACTGAACTGTATGTGCCAACAGTGAGCTGCAATTTTCGTGTAAGACTGTCAGTGTTTGCCCATTCGACAGCTGCATTATATGCATTTTTACTTTGCGTGTGCAAGCTTCAAGATTTTGCAGGGACTGACAAGTTTATGTTACTTGTTTTAAAGTGGGACAGTGAAGAACATTTCATGTGATTTCTCTCTGGCACAGAAACAAAGCGTATGGGGTAACCCATCTACACTGGTGTTGGAACCATGACTTCTTCTTCTTCTTCTCTTCCACCTTGTGCCTTATCGAAGTGTTGGGGAGGAAATGTATCACTCGACTATGAGCTCTGTCAATAGCATTATAAGACTCCATCTTTTCTGAGGTCTTCCACTCGCTCTATACCTGTTGTAACGTTTTAGTGTGGCTCGCTGAGGCATTCTTGTTAGCATTCGTTTTATTTCGTGATTTTGTATTCTGTCTTCCCCTGAAACTCCTGCAGCTCTTCTAAGGCATTTCATCTCTGTTGTCACAGTTTTACGTTCAGTGGAGGATGTAAGTGTCCACGTCTGGCACTGATAACACAGTGTTGGCCAAAAACTAGTTCTGAGAAGATTCACTTTAGTACTCCAAGGTATCTGCTTGTGTGTCAACAGGGAAGAAAGTCGCCCTATTACTTGATTATCTTGGCACATCTCGAGCTAATTTCTCTGTCCAGTTTTCCGGCGGATGTAAAAATTTCTCCCAAATACTTAAATTCCACTGTTTGTCTTAAGGTGTAGAACCATGACTAACAACTAATATTTACACACAGTCGATTTCCCCTCATCACTGAAGTCATCTTCCTCCAAGTCACTGGCAGGCTGTGCTGTAGTTTAGGGTTAGGCTGCAATATCTGCAACCTTTTGTCCCAGCAAATCTCTAATCTAATAATCGCCTGTTATGACATGATTGTTGGTGTGGGTGGGTCTCTTCAGCCCCTACCCCAAATGGTGCCCCAGAATTAACAAGGGGAACATCCCTGAAGTGAGAAAATATAACAGTTTCCCTCCCTCCCATGTGCAGAGTGGCAAGCATCACTTTAAAGGTCCCGGGTAGTTAGCATCCTTTGGATATTTTCTCTAGGTCAAGCCGGTATGTTAGGAAATAAGCAGGCAGATAAACTTGCCGGTTCTGCACCACTTGTTGTTGAACCGATGTGTGACAAGCTGGATGTTATGAGGGTACTTTGGGAGCGAGTGAACAGTGCCGAGGCACAGATAGATCATTACGGTCTGAGGAGAATGGCGCTGTGAGGAGTTACAAGGGGATCTGGCCGACGCTCGACACTCAGGGGAATGGCGAGACGGAAATACAATCAGACAGTTACTAATTCCATCGGAATTTTAACTCTTTGCTTGCTGCTGAAGATGGGGACAGAGCATTTATGGGGGTGTCCCGAGCGCTGTGATGTTGATTCTAAATTTAACATTCATCCTCCCATCATCCAGTGACATGCCTATAAAACATGATATAGCTTTCTCTTTTATTTTGTAAACAGAAATGCCAACAATTCCCTTTCAGTTCCTAAATCATAAGCTATCAACTGACCTGCTAATTTCTGTACTCAAAGAATGGATTCCATTGTAGGTTGTACTTTCAGTAACTGCTGCATGTGGGGGGTGTCCATCATCATTATAAATATCCCGACTGGAATGTGACCCATTTCCAACCACTCTTCCTGTTTCTGCATTTTGCCTGTGAAGCACAACAGTGTGAACAACACTTCGGATACACACAACAGTGTGAACAACACTTTGGACATACTTAACAGTGTAAATAACAATTTTGGATACACAGAGCAGTGTGAACAGCACTTTAGATACACATAACAGTGTGAACAACACTTCGGATACACAAAACTGTGTGAACAACACTTTGGACATACTTAACAGTGTAAATAACAATTTTGGATACACAGAGCAGTGTGAACAGCACTTTAGATACACATAACAGTGTGAACAAGACTTCAGATACATTTTATACCAGTGTTGTTCAACCTTTGTTACACACATGGACCGTCAAAACAGAGGAAACTGTTTCGCAGAGCAACTGACAGCTAAAATATGTAAGCCACAGTTTATTTGGTTTAAATCCAACGGCCCACAATTACAGCTAACGTGAAACCTGAAGCTGCTTAGAAGTAAGAAAATCCAATCAGCAGTTGATACAACAGCGGCGTCCGTGGCTTAGGCGCTGCGAGTCCGACTCGCAATTCCAACATACCGCGATCGAAACCCACTGCTGGCTGCATGGATTTTTATCATAGTATGGGGTGTCGCAGGTCGACCCAGTCTAAAATGGGTAACAAGATGTATGTCCTAGGGAAGTAAAGCTGGCCCACGTAATGCTAACCACATTACCCACCTAATACTAATTGTTCAGTAAAAAATACGGGTGCTCTTCCCATATACCCGATGCATCTAATAGCGGGAAAAGGGATCTTAATTTTACTTTTTTACTTAGAGATATTTATTAAAATTGGTTGAAGCAGTGCCAAACAGGACAGACAATTATCTGTCATGTGAACAAAAGTATCACATAGTTTATGTTAGACTTTTGTGGTGATATGTAGTTAAAAAGATTCTATGTCTTGTGGTTCATTACATATTGATGTTTCTTTACAGTATGCATGATAGACTGGCTGGCTCTGCACTACTTGGTGGTGAAGTGATGTATGACAAGTTAGAGATTGTGATGGCCCTTTGGGATCAAGTGAACAGTGCGGAGGCATAGATAGATCATTACGGTCCAAGGAGAATGGCGCTGCGAGGAGTTACCAGGGGATCTGGCCGATGCTCAACACTCAGGGGAAGGGATAAGACGGATATACAATCAGACTGTTACTGGTACCATCGGAACTGGAACTCTTCGCTTGCTGCTGAAGATGGGGACTGAGCACTCATGGGAGTGTCCCTGTGATGTAATTCTTAATTCAACTGTCTACAGTATGTATCTGATGAGACACAGCAAAACACGTCAGGTAATTAATTGTGCCATATATTATTTATGCCTTCATTATTTGATGACCTTTTACCTTGTGCCCCTGGAGACTGTTCTCTTTGCATTTCTTGCCTTCATCATTTCCTTGAGAGCATTTCTCCTGTCTTCAGCCTTTTGCTTCTTGTCACTTGTCTTCTCCTTCTTTGACTCTGTAATCTGCTCCATAGCTCCAGCTTCTTCATCACTAGCTGACTGGTTTTCATCACCGGTCTTTGCTAGAACTGAAATATTGGGAATTAACACGTCGCCTCTGTCTAGCTCTTCCTCGCTGCAACTGTTGGAAGCGACCTCCATGTCTTCAGAATTATCTTGACTTGTACGATTTTTATTGTGTTTACCCCCAAGTAAAGTGCCTGTAGGAGACTTCCGTTTTGATTTAGGTTTTCTCTTTGTCTCATTAACATTACTAGCTTTTTCACGTTTCTTTGCCTTTTCTTCACGTTTCTTTGCCTTTTCTTCACGTTTCTTTGCCTTTTCTTCACGTTTCTTTGCCTTTTCTTCACGTTTCTTTGCCTTTTCTTCTTGTTTATTTGAGGAGGCAATCACGGAAGAAGATGGTACTTCAAACACTCTGGACACAATCTCGTGTATGCCATCTGCTTCTGATGACTCCAAACAATCAGCAATCCTAGTCAGGTCTGAATCGCTGAACTCAGCTGGGATTCTCCAAAACATTTCCTGAGAACAAATGTGCAGAAAGAAACAAATAGGTTTAATTATTACAATAATTACATTCATCACAAAACAATAATTTTGCTATGTCAATAATATATCATATGTGTTTAGGAAAATCTACGCAATACAACAGTCTTCTCAATGCTGAGTCTATGAAGGTTATGATGGCTGGGTCACATCTGGAGAATCGAGAATGGAAGATTCCCTAAGGACATCCTCGATGATGAACTAAAGATGGGTAGAAGAGTCAAGGCCGACCTTTACTATAATATAAAGATGTGTGCAAGCGGGATATGAATGATACAAGTAATGAGGTAGACTCATGGGAACAGAATGCCATGGACCATGCGGTGTGGAGGCAGGACTTCAGGAAAGGAATGAAAATGAAGGAAGAAATGACTGTAAAAAGTATGTGAGCTAATAGTCCGAGAAGAAACATACTGACAATAACGGTCCTGAAATCCCATGCTACCATTATGGAAGACTTTTCCTAATACAGGCGGGTCTTGCTAGTCACACTCGTCATCCCCATGGGCTGTGAGTCATATGCCTTCTTATAGCACAATAAAATACTATAGTCTGGAAAGACAGAAAGGTGCCAATGAAATTTAGGAAAAATGAACATCAAAAATGCCCAAGTGGACAGGCAACCCAGAATACTTAGCATGTGCTAAAGACATGCTCTCTACGTGTAGCAGAGAGATCCTATGTCTGGCCAGTTAGCGTTCTGGTGGACAACAAGCTGTATGGATGACAGACAGCACATTACAGCCTTCAGAGAGGCCTGTGGCCTTCTCACACGGAAATTATTGACCAGGAGAAGGAGAAGACTAAAACAACTGTGTGTTACTGTCTGTGTTGTAACTATAGGATACACAAAAAAACCTGCCGTAGACCAGAACATTTGGGTGTTATTACTTTCTTATCTGTGTGCAAGGAAAAATCTCACCTCTTCGCGCTCCATGAATCAAATTAAAAACTGGCTTTTAGTATTTTATGTGATTGAAGAGGACTGCGTTTTTCTTATTCACTCATATCTCCACATATGGTTATCTGACCAGTGTGCATTGGGAACTGGTGTGTATGTGTATGTGTATCGCTGTGGCAAAACAGTTAATTTTGCTTCATGCTCTAAAACACGGCTTTTTACCTGACAGCCCACGGGCTGAACCTGGAACGCAGAGGTCTAGCAAGTGGCCTGCAGATCACTGCCAATTATTTTGCATTATCTTTCTAAGCTGGGGCTCACGCCTTTGAAAAAAAAAATTTTGGTCCCTAAGTAAACTTATTTGAACATTCTTTCATGCTCCAAAAGATGACAAAAACTCTCCTGTCAATCACAGAAGTGGACACAAGAAGAAGACCAATGCTCTAAAGGTTGTGGATTCAATTGTGGACCAGGTCTCCAAGTTCGCAGGTACAGGTATTTGAAGATGGCTGGGGCAGTTGCTGGAACTACAGAAAATGCACTTTCTGCAATAAATTCAAAGATGACCAGACACTCTGTGGAGTGACTAGGTTAAATTGGATAAAGCCCTCCAACAAAGTTATTCCGTTTTCACATTTAAATACTCTGTAAATATTTTGCATGCCTCAGCTGATAAATTTCAAAGAAAAACCTTTTATTATAATTTAAATCTGAGTGTTGCGTGCACATCCGTTTTACAGAACTGACTTATTTGTATGCAGACTGCTGTTTCCTTGGCTCTCAGGCAGATGCACTTGAACTTCGAAGGAAACTCTCCCCCCACCCCGTCCCTCCGATCAGGCGACTCTTAAAATATGCTTGTTGGAAGGAGGGGGGGGGGGGGTGTGTGTGTGTGTGTGTGTGTGTGTGTGTGTGTGTGTGTGAGCCATTGGGTCTATTCTTGTTTTCCCCACAATGGGATCCCGGAACCCACACGGGGGTCTGTGTATTATAAATTGTAGACCTTACCTGCTGGCTAGCTGGTGGACTGATTCCAATGCAGCGCAAAAAGACCAGGAACATTTCATCCTCCATGGCAGTTTCATTCTCCTCTGTCAGCGGCACAATCGGTGTAGGAACGCAGGCTGTTGGTGCAAAGATCAACAGAAAGAAAACTCATCATTCGCTATAAATTTCATAGAATAGGGACCCTTTTCCACACCTTAAGGTGCACTGGGCATACGGGGCTAGACCTATATTTTAAAGACCAGCTGGCACTCGGTGGGGATGAGGTCAATATCCAATAGGCCACCTTTACTTCCCAGGACGGCAGCTGGTAGCCACACAAGGCTAGGTGGACCTGGAAGCCAAGGTCATTTAGGAAAACAAAACAAAAAGACTGGCTTCATCAGGACCTGAACACACACAACCTTCCGATCCGCAGGTGAGCATCTAACCACTTCACCATGGCGACTCCATTTCATTCACTACAGTTAACAGCAAATGCTTTTGTACTCGCCACTTTAGAATATATAACTTCAAAACTTCTGATGAAGACTTCTGTATGTAAATAAAGGAATGAGATATTAGTTAATGGAACGTGGAATGTGAGAACACTGATGGAACACAACTATAGTCAAAGGGAAAGAATTAATGTAAACATCTTGAGACTGTGAAACAAGTCACACTGGAGCCGGGGAAATGTATTCAGATTACCACAACTAATAAGTGCAAAATCAAAACAGTCTCTTATCAACACAAGAAGAGAAGAATCAAATCAATCAGAAAAGCCACCAAAACCAGCAAAAGACGATTACCATATAATGGATAGACCAGAGCAAGTCATTATTGTATGCCTTAGAACAGGACAGAATCGACTTCGCAGCCACACATATAGAAAATTTAAGACTGGCAAAACTGCCATGGGCACATGTGGATTGGCACCTGAAACAACAGATCTTGTTCTCCAAGACTGTAACAAATACAATAAATCAAGGCAAAAATGTTGGCCAAGAGAAACACTGGTGCAAGCCAAATTTTACGGGTCACCAAGTGAATTAGAAAATACAGTGAAGTTCATACTGGAGACAACATTGCAAATATAATCTATTTGAAGTGAACGAAGAAGAAGAAGAAGAAGAAGAAGAAGAAGAAGAAGAAGAAGAAGAAGAAGAAGAAGAAGAAGAAGAAGAAGAAGAAGAAGAAGAAGAAGAAGAAGAAGAAGAAGAAGAAGAAGAAGAAGAAGAAGAAGAAGAAGTCTTAGAAGAGCTGTTAGAGTACAAAATAGAAAAAACATTTTTTTAAAATTTTTAATGGCTGCGGCTGAAACCAGTCATATAATTCACAATTCAGCAAAGACCAACAGGTGATATGATTTGGCCATTTGACGCGAATGCCATAGTATTTCCTGTCATGGAGTGACATGCCAAAGAAATACAATGAACAGAGAGCAAGGGAAAGCCCGCTCAAATGATAAAACGACAGCATCAAGAACAGTCTTAAAGAAATGAAGATCGAATTGCACAACACACTAGGGGTACCACAAAGAAGAGCTTTATAGCTACCCCAAACATGGTTGAAGTAATCATAAAAATGCACTAGAAGGAGCAGAAGACATCCCCAGCTTAGAGAAGGTAACTGAAGGAAGACTAGAAGAAGAGAAGAAAAAGAAGGAAAATATTTAAATGTATATAGATGAAGGAAGCTACAGGAGCACAAATGGACAGGTATGTGCATGCTGGCTCGAAGGCCTTGGGTTAGAACCTACACCTTTTTTCATAATTCACCTAAGACTCCCATGCTGACCCAGTCTACAATGGGGACCATGTGTCTTGGGAAGTAAAGGTAGCCGGCGTGATGCTGACTGCATCACCTGAGTGCTAACTGGTCCTAAAGTAAACAACAGTCAGCAACAGAGCAGGTATGGGGAAACCCGACTGCAGTGAAGTTAAAACCTCCACCAAGACTAAGAGGGTCCAGCACCATATGCCCAACATGCTAACATGGTGAAAAGGGTCCCTTTCTTTACAATTTACACATGTCTAAATACCTGAGCCTGTCAGGCTGTCAGGTTACTGGGCACTTTTTGAGTCTCCGGGTGTTAATCACTCAGGATGCAGTCTCAGAGAGCTTCATCTTCACTCATTCATACACACAGGTGAATGCAATGAGCTGCGGTAATGTAGTCATTAGAACTCTTAGTGGTCTGAAGTTAAATTCTACACAAAAGTAGAAATTTTTTTTAGCTGCTCTCAGGTCAGCCCAACTTCTAATGTACAAAAAAATGTCCTTAAAAATTCATTTAGAGTCCGGCAATCTTTGAGGCCATAATACGACCATTTCTCCTAAAATTCTTCACTTCCTCTTTTGCTGGTTCAGGTGTCGAGGGAGATACAAGGTTCTACTTCTTGCACTTCTGGCCGCCTCGACCACAGAAACAATGTGCTGTTGTAGAATGTCTCTGACATTATTCTTCCATGTTGTATGTTGTCTACCTCTTGATCTACATCCTTCTCCTCTTTTAGTGTATATCTTGTATGGTATGGCGCCATAAGATGTTCTCAGTATTGCTTCTTTTGTATGTAATTTAGAACTGGTTCTGTGCTGACGTTTTCTCTTTTGCCCTGATTCTTGATTTTATCTCTTCTACTTACTCCTGCTGCCCTTCTCAAACAACATATTTTGATGGTTAATTCACCTCGAGGTATCGAAATTAGATCTTCACTTTTTCATACGGGTGAAAACAATTTGTTTTAAGCATCTTTCTGCTAACAGTTCCAGATATAGAACAGCACAGGACCAGGATTTACACTTGAAAAGTTAGAGCCACACGGCTAGTGCAGTAGCCACAAACTGTGCAGTTTAAGATATTTATTTTTGTCCCCGACACACACACACACAAAGCTACCAGCTTTCTATGATTTGAACCTGGGTCACTTAAGTGAGATTTGAGCATGCTAAGCACCTGGCCAGCTGCTCATCAAATTTTCTATCAAATGTAAATTTAAATGTACCTCCATCACTTCTGTCTTCTGCGGCATTCCTCAGTCCTCTCACAATCCAGGCTAGCTGTCTATGATAACCTGTATGACAAATAGAGAATGCAATCTGAATAAGTAGCAGCAGCAATATTTGCTAAAACCGGTTATTGTTCTTCTTCTTTATGTCTTCTTTTACTGCTTCTGGTGCCAAGGAAGACATAAGGTCCTGCTTCGTGCTCTTCTGGCTGCTTCGACCATAGACACATAGTGGGGCTGTAGAGTTTCTCTGGTGTTATCTTCCCATCTTGTTCTTGGTCTACAACTTGCTCTACTTCCCTCCTTTTTTTTTATTATATGCCTTGTATGGTATAGCATCAGAAGGCATTCTCTCCAAGTTAATAACCCAATTTGGTGTGCTATTTCCCTGTGTGGATTCCAGGGCCCTTTTTTTGGGGGGGAGGGGGAAAAAAGAACAGGCCCACTGATGTTGTCCAAGAAGACCATTAACTGACTAAACATCAGTTTTGTGTATGAATGCCATTGAAATGCAAGTATTTGAACAAACTATCAGGTAAAAAGAAGCAGACAACAGGGAGTGACAGAGAAAGTATTAAAATGACCCCTCATTATGTAGCAGGTCCTTTTCCCCTGAGTGGATTCCAGGCCCCATTGTGGGAAAAACAAGAATAGAACCACTACCTTCTCAACAAGCATGGCATAGGAGTTTACCTAACTGGGAGCTTCCTTCAAAGTCAGAGTGCATCTGTCCGAGCAGCAATGAACAACCAACTAAACACAAATAAGCCAGTAAAACGGATGTCCATGCAAAACTCAGGCACTGGCACAAAGACAAAGTTTAAATGGACAGACAACCAAAAGTTTTTGCCAGAGTTTATAGCAGGTGAACAATTGCCGATGTAGCCATTCCTGTGTAGAATGTTGCTATCATTACAGCCTGCATGAAAGAAACTCAGCCTCTCACCGGCTCTCCTACCTTGCGCACCTTTATACTCAAGGTGTGTTTGATATCTTTGCCCATCTTTGTGCTGATCGGCCCCTGCCCCCCCCCCCTCTTCCCAAGGCACCTGACATGTCAAAAATATTTAAGTTTTACAATGAACCACCACTTAAAGAACTTCAAAAGTTATGCTGACACACTGATTTACATAGACTGCTGCTTAGACTGACTTGGGCATGTGTGTATGTGTGTGTGGTTGTTGTTATTTCATCACTGTATCTTTCATTTTTTTTTTTTTTTTTTTTTTTTTTTTTTTGGTTTTTCTGATTACACTTAAAAGACTTGCTGGCACGATGTGCTGAGGCACTACCGGCTGAAGCTGACGGGCCTTGCTGCTGACGTCACCGGGTCGGGCTAACGATGCGTTAACGCAGCGATTCTCAAACAAGAAATAACTTATTTTCGACAGTGGCGAGGGAAGACAACTTAAATTTTAATTTTAAAGTATCTATATGCGTTCTTTAATAATTTCACAATTTGTAGCCGACTTTTCTTGATTTTTGCCGCAGCAGCCCTGGAATACGCTCACGGCACCCCAGGGCGCCTCGGCACCCAGTTTGAGAACCGCTGCATAAACGCATCGTTAGCCCGTCCCAGGGACGTCAGCAGCACAGCCCGTCAGTTGGAGCCGGTTGTGGCTGAGGTTTACAGCTAGGCTGTGGTTATGTGCCTTTCAATAGAGAACATTTTAAAGCATGATTTACACTACAACATACAGACAAGCCCACAACCTCAGAAGTCTACAGTTTTTAAATCAGTATACTTTCAATGTCCCAGTCCTTAAGAAAAAAAAATAGTGGCTTTTGAGCTGAAATGCTATAGAAAGATTCTCAGAATATCTTGGACAAATAAGAGGAGAAATATTGACATCTAGAAAGATCTGAACATCAAGGAAGACTGGCTAATAATCAGCATCCTGACTTGGAAGCTGAAATATTTTAGTCATATCAATCGCCACGACGGATTGGAAACAATTATAGCAGAAGGCATGGGACCAGAAAGAAGGGGCAAAGGCCCGCCGACACGAACATGGGCACAAGATATAAGTGACTTCAGTATGAAAGTACATGAGGCGGGAGAGCTGACGAGAGACCGAGTTTCTTTCAGGCAGGCTGCCTGCCTCTCTGCAGAGAGACTGAGTAGTACAGAAAAAAACTCCAATGCAATAAAGTCGATCACCTCGACTTTAAACATTTTATTAATGTTCTCACCTTTCTGTGTTTCCAGACGAGTGTTATACTGTGCTATGGGGAGACATGGGAACCACAGCCCATGGTGACGGCGAGGTGAATACTGGATTATGAATCAACACCACCGCACTCTGGACACTCCCAAAAATGCTTCATTCCCATCTTCAACTTGAAGAGTTCCAATTCCGATGGCGCCAGTAACTGTCTGATTGTACATCCGTCTCGCCCCTTCCATGAATGTTGAGCGTCGAGGTAACTCCCCCGCAGCGCCATTCTCCTAAGACCGTAATGATATATTTGTGCCTCCACACTGTTCATTTGCTCTCAAAGGACCCTCACAATTTCTAGCTTGTCAAACATCAATTCACCACCAAGTGGTGCAGAGCCAGCCAGTCTATCTGCCTGCACTTCTCTTGATGGCGAGTGCCATGCAAGACCCACCCGTTCCAAGAACAGTCTTCCAGAATTATAGCATGGAATATCAGGACCATTATTGTCAACATTTGTGTTTATTTGTGTTTAGTGTTTTTTCTCAGACGCTCAGCTCTCAACCTTTCTGCAATCATCATTGTCTTTAGTTGCATTTAATTTCTGATTTTCCCCCTCCAGACAACACAGCATTTTATTCCCATGAATCTACCTCAATACATGTATCATTCGTATCCCACTTGCAAACAACTAAATATCATAGTAGAGGTTGACCTCCACATCTTCTACCCATCTATAATACATTTTATTAACATCAGGCAAGTTGACACGTTTATATTTCGAACTCTCAAATGATGCAGTGGTACATTTTCCAGTTACACGTGTGATTTTTCTACATATAGCCGGGTACAAACCTTTTTCTTTCACATTACTGATGGAGTCATTAATAGCTGCGGCAGAGGATCTAACCGTGCTCACATTCCCAGCTTCAGGAATATTGTCACCTTCACTTTCATCTGTGTGCTCGTCATCATCATCATCCTCATCTTCTTCGTCACTTGCATTATCTCCCTCACTTTCATTATCTTCTTCATCACTGCTATCACTCCGGTTCCGTCTCCTTGGTTTGTTAGATTTTCCTGCAAAAACACATTTTTAAATAGGAGAAACTGTAGACAAACAAGCATCTTAGCAGGAAACTGTTAAAAGAATGCACAGCAACTGTTTGTTTTGTTTTTTTGTTCATAAAAATGCAAAGTATACCATACAACTGCCTTTACTATACCAATTCTGCGGTGTAGGCGGGGTGGTCTTTGAGCCTAAGGATTTACGGCCGCATGGCTAGTGCTGTCGCCACGACTGTGCAGGTGAGGATTTTATTTTGAAAGTATACGATCGAACAATAGAAATATAAAATGAGGAGGTCCTCTGCGAGACAGATGAAAACCATAAAATGATTAGAAAAATGAGACGTTCACAGTCAGTGTTTTTCTGGCGCTGTGAAAAGGTGTGGACTTGAGAAGTGGGTAACGACTAGCAAGTTTGATGGAAAGAGAGGAAGGGGAAAGCAAGGAAATAAAGATCCAAATGACTTAGCCATATGAATAGGATGAGAAGAACATGACCTGGTCTGTGATTCAGGTAATAGTGTGGGGTGGTGAAACGAGATGTTTGGCACATGATGATGGGAACTATGCAGACATTTTGTAATCTGTATAATACTGTAACAACTGACAGAATTTCCTGGCTCTAAGAATCATCCTATTCGCAGAATGGCAAAGAACTGGTCTCTATGCAGGCGTGGAAGGCCAAGAACTGAGGAACCAGACTACTCGGGTGACCTAGGGTTCGCTGGGAAGACAACATACGACAGTCCCTGACTGACAACACAGGTTCACTGGGGAAGCAACAAACAACAGTCCCTGATTGACAACCCGGGTTCACTGTGAAAACATATGACGGTCCCTGATTGACAACCCGGGTTTGCTGGGAAGACAACATATGAAAGTCACTGACTGACAAAGGAACAAAGCCAGAAAGAAAAGTGCTGATAGAGAAGTCTGGTGATCTCTCTCTGGCAAACCTCTACATCCCAAGGTAGACTTTGTAAGTAATTCAGAATCACAGCTGAAATACACTAGGCTAACCTATAGATGCTCAGATTCCCTCAAGAAATGATCAATTCAGCAGTCTACTCACTGCAGACACATCACATTCATCCTATCAGCTTCCCTGTTTGGGCTCTTGGGCCCCAATGGGTTCTTGGGTCCCGCTGTCTCCTCTAAAAGCATATCCTATGAGTCGACTAACTGGGGTGCTTCCTTTGAAGTCAGACTGCATCTGCCTGAGAGACAAGGAACCAACAGTCTGCAAACAAAAGAGCCAGATCTGTAAAAATTCAAGAATTTCTTTAAATGAGAAACAAAAAATTGCCCAGTGCAATTTTAAAATATCCAGTTTAATATGAAAATCAGTTCGATTTGAAACTGTCCTAGGTAGTTAGAATGGTTAGAAAATTATCTAGTTTCGCTTGAAAAACTAAGGGACTTCAAAAATGTCTAGCTGAATTGGTATATATAACTGTCAGGTCGTCTAAATCTGTGTCCTATACAGCTCCAGCAGTTTTTTCCTCACCTCTTGTTGCCAGATTTTTTTTTCTGCAATGACTAAAGAAGAAAACTAAGGTTTTGTTCATTCAAAGAAACCCGAAGGCAACAAACTCACTTTTGCGACCTGTCTCTGGAAACAGCCTGTCCCCATCGTCAGCGTCAGAATGTTTCCCACTGCCTCTTCTCTTGGAAGACTTTTGTTTAAACAGCTCCTTTTTATCTTGAACCAATCCCAGGTCGATAATCTTGGCAATGACAAGCCGCTTTGACTTGTTGGTGTTCAAGGTCTTCATAATTTCAGAAATAGGATCTGCAAAAGGCAAGACATATATTACAAACAAATCTCTGTGTGGGTTTTGAGGCCCCATTTAGGGGCGGGGATAGACCCAATGTACCCTAACAGATTTTATAAAACACAAATAATTAGGAATTTGTTGAAAATGAATGTAGGGGCTAAAATATCCAGTTATCGGAGTCTAGCTGTCAACCATAACACAATATCCCAGCCTACCTTTTAAAGCAGAATTCAGAAGAGAAAGAAAAAGAAACGACAAGGATCCTTTTCCATGTCTGCTGGGTAGATTAGATGGTGTTTGCTCCATGCCTGAAAACCGACAGCTACTTGATGGGTGATGTGGACAAACATTACAGTGGAACCTCGCTTAACGAACATAATTCATTCCACAATCATACTCGTTAAACGAAACACTCGTTAAGCAAAACAATTTCTCCTATATAAATTAATGTAAAATGCGTTCCATGTCGAAAAAATTCTCACAAAATGGTATGAATAACATTTATTCTATGAAAATTATACACAGAGTCAAGGAGAATGAATCATCTTCATCTTTTCTTCAAATGCGGAATGAACCCACTTGGAATGCAAATTCGATTTGCAGAAAAAAAAAGTCGAAATAATTATGATACATAGCTAATTGGTTGTTTTTTTTACTTGAAAGATGTCCAGAGACATTTGTTTTTGCCGACGATTTAAAATTTGGCAAAAAGGCGACACAGTATTATCATTATATAAATTTGCAACGCGCATAGCCACTTCCTTGTTAGGGTGATGCTTCTCAATGAAAGATGCAACAGTTTGCCATGCTTTCAGCATTTCTCGTATTTCGCCAGAAGATTGTTGCTTTTCTGTTACCTCCTCCTCCCCCTCCCCCTCTGACAAACTTGCTTCCAAAACTTCTTGCTGTGAAACACAATGCAACTCCATAAGCTCTTCGGTGGTCAGCTCTTGGCTGTGTTCTTCCACAAGCTCTTCGATATCACTGTTATCCTCCTACAATCCCATGATAGTGGCCATAGACACAATCTCGTTGACTACAGGTTCTACAGGTACTGTCTCGAACCCCTCAAAGACACAAATCGACAACACTCTCCAGCCAAAGCTTATCCACGAAGAAGTTAGGGTTCTCTTGGTAACCTCTTCCCACGCCTTGTCGATCATCTTCAGGCAGGCAACGATGTGGAAGTGATTTTTCCAAAACTCTTTGAGAGTGAGGTTGTTCTCTTCAGTCACCTGAAAACAATGCTCGAAGAGTGCTTTAGTGTACAGCTTCTTAAAGTTAGAAATAACTTGCTAGCCCATGGGCTGGAGTAACGGAGTGGTGTTGGGAGGCAGAAACTGGATCTTGAGGAACTTAAATTCTTCAGGGAGGTAATCTTGTAGGCCTGGAGGATTCATGTACATATATCACAATATAACACAAGTTTGAGAAAATGTGTGATCGCAAGCGACACTACGATGCTACTGGAACGAGTGCTAAACAGAGACTGATGTAACATGTGCACAATCCGGGACTTCCCCTCTCCTCGCCACTCGTTATGCGAAACGTCGCTCGTTAAGCAAGTCATTCTTTTACAATTTGTTTTGCTCGTTATACAAATTACTTGTTATTAGAGGTGCTCGTTAAGCGAGGTTCTACTGTACTTGTTTAGAAAATCTTTGGATACCCATTAAAGGGAGATCAGTCAAGGTGCTTTTGTCTCTGGGGGGAAAACTCCTGGCATGACCATCCAGCTAGCATGCAAGCCTTAGTGCTTCATTGGTTCCCAATGTAAGATCTTCATCATCAAGTACCTTACCAACTTGAGGAGGCGATCATGCCTCTCCTCAGTCAGCAATCTTCAACATCTTCTCACAATGTCTTCATCTGTCTCTCCTTCCACAAATCTTTCCTTTAGGTACAATATGTTTCAGTTTCCTTGTCACAGTATGACGCAAAATAATGACTAATCTCTCAATCTGATATTTGCTTCAACTCGTCCTCCAGCCCTCGCCTCTTTTAAATCATTTGGGTTAATATTTTTGGCTGTCGGAGGAAATCTGGATTCTACTGTTAAACTATACCTATGAGGTTTCAGAAATTGTCTGGAAATATGTTTGAATTTAAGCTGCTTTAAATCATCTGATGGCAATAGGTTCGAATTTAAGATGCTTAAAATCATTTGATGGCAATACTTTAGAATTAGGGCTGCTTAAAATCGACCCTTTTACAGGGGTCACCTAAGACCATCCATATTTTTTGAAGTTACAAAGGGAAATAATTGTTTGGGGGTCCCCACAACATGAAGGAACTTTATTAAAGGGTGGCTGCTGTAGAAAAGTTGAGAGCCACTGACTTGAGGTGATCTCAGATGAATCAAATTTCTGTTTTGAAGAACAATTTGTTTATCCCTGCCAATTTTTTCTCGCCTGAATTCTTACCCAAATTAGAGGAATTTCTGATAAAAAGAATAATTTCTTAGGTACCTGTGTACACACACACTTAGTGTTACAGGTTTATGCATCCTGTGTGTTGGGAAATGAGCAGGCAGATAGACTGGCTGGTTCTGCACCGCTTGGTAGTGAACTGATGATATATGGCAGGCTGAATGTTGTCAGGGCTCTTTGGGAGCGAGTGACCAGTGCGGAGGCACGGATAGATCGTTGTGGTCTGAGGAGAACGGTGCTGCGGGGAGTTACAAAGGAATCTAGCTAACACTCAACACTAAAGGGAAAAGGCAAGACGGATATACAATCGGACAGTTACTGGTGCCATCGGAATTGGAACTCTTCGCTTGCTGCTGAAGATGGGGATTGAGCGCTTATAAGGGTGTCCCGAGTGCTGTAATGTTGATTCTTAATTCAACATTCAATATGTTTATTCATATGAATTATTTTCTTGTTAAAAAAAATTCCATCTTGACAAAAAACAAGTCAAAATGAGTACTGGAGACATGAGTTTATAGATAAACGTTGATTTTTATCCAAAAAAAGGAAGACATTTTAGAGACACCTTCGTTGTGTTTTTCTTGTACTCTACATGCCGTTCTCGTTTTTATTCTGTAAAAGCACACCCTTGAAAGCTTTCATGCATTTGTTCACTTATCTGTCTGTCTGTTATCTTGCACAACTGACTACCTTATCTGTCTGTCTGTTATCTTGCATAACTGACTACCTTATCTGTCTGTCTGTCTGTTATCTTGCACAACTGACTACCTTATCTGTCTGTCTGTTATCTTGCATAACTGACTACCTTATCTTTCTGTCTGTCTGTTATCTTGCACAACTGACTACCTTATCTGTCTGTCTGTCTGTTATCTTGCATAACTGACTACCTTATCTGTCTGTCTGTCTGTCATCTTGCATATCTTGACTCTGTCTGTGTCATCTTGCACAACTGACTACCTTATCTGTCTGTCTGTCTGTTATCTTGCACATCTGACTCCCTTATATGTCTGTCTGTTATCTTGCACAACTGACTACCTTATCTTTCTGTCTGTCTGTTATCTTGCACAACTGACTACCTTATCTGTCTGTCTGTCTGTTATCTTGCATAACTGACTACCTTATCTGTCTGTCTGTCTGTCATCTTGCATATCTGACTACCTTATCTGTCTGTCTGTGACTACCTTATCTGTCTGTCTTGTTATCTTGCACATCTGACTCCCTTATATGTCTGTCTGTTATCTTGCACAACTGACTCCCTTATCTGTCTGTCTGTTATCTTGCACAACTGACTACCTTATCTGTCTGTCTGTTATCTTGCATAACTGACTACCTTATCTTTCTGTCTGTCTGTTATCTTGCACAACTGACTACCTTATCTGTCTGTCTGTCTGTTATCTTGCATAACTGACTACCTTATCTGTCTGTCTGTCTGTCATCTTGCATATCTGACTACCTTATCTGTCTGTCTGTCATCTTGCACAACTGACTACCTTATCTGTCTGTCTGTTATCTTGCACATCTGACTCCCTTATATGTCTGTCTGTTATCTTGCACAACTGACTCCCTTATCTATCTGTCTGTTATCTTGCACAACTGACTACCTTATCTGTCTGTCTGTTATCTTGCACAACTACCTTATCTGTCTGTCAAATCTATCTATCTATCTATATCTATCTATCTATCTATCTATCTATCTATCTATCTATCCATCCATCCATCCATCCATCCATCCATCCATCCATCCATCCATCCATCCATCCATCCATCCATCCATCCATCCATCCATCCATCCATCCATCCATCCATCCATCCATCCATCTATCTATCCATCTGTCTTATCTATCCAATCTATCTATCTACCTCTCTATCCTATCTATCTATCTATCCATCCATCCATCTCTTTCTGTTTGTCTATTAATCTATCCATCCATCCACCTATCTCTCTTTTAATGTCTTATCTATCTATCTCTCTCTCACTCATGCACATGTGCACACACACACACGCACACATAAAGAAAAAGACTCCATAAACTTACAGTCAGATGCACGGTGCATGTTGAATGCTTCCTTGACTTTTTCCACTTCTTCTTCTGTCCACTTAGGCAGCCTAATGACATGGCAAGTATATGAAAAAATTGATTTTAAATTAAAAAAACATAAGATAGAGACATACAGTAAAACCGCACGAACACAAATCCCACATTCCAATAATCAAGTTTGTGCTGAAATAACAACAATAATGATACAGGCCTGCTAGGACCAAGAGTGTGTTTATTTTAGCTGAGAGTTCTTCTTAAGCAAGTTTGTGTTAACAAGGTGTGTGTACTTTATCGTTACTGTGCCGACAGAGTAGGTGGTCATGTTTCCCAATCTCCCAAAATTACATATCAGGTCAGATTTCTTGTCTCGCCTCTCATTTGTTTCGAGGCATTTATCTCTTTTGCTTTTTTTTTTAGCCAATCGAGGCCACGCCTTCATTCTTGATGAGCGATATGGTCACAAATCGACAGGATAGCTTAGAAATTGCAACAGCTTAGAAGTTGCCACATCCTCCTCTGCATCGAGCAGAACTGGGTCATTTCAATCTGGGCTATCCTCGACTAACGGTCGGCAAAGATGGCGGCCGCAAAATATCCTTTTGAGCTACAGTCATGCGACTTAATTTGCTCCCGCTGCGTGGAACGAGGCTAAACTAGATGGCTAGGACCCACGAGCAGCAGCATGCGCAATTAAGTCCTGTGACTATGGCTCGAAAGGATATTTTGCGACCGCCATCTTTGCCGACCGTTAGTCGGAGGAGAGCCTCAATCTGGAATTGTTATATTTCTTGTCTAGTCTATCCTGTTCAATCCTTTAAAATCCATAAAAAGAATTCCAGTCCAGCACCTTTTACCACTCTCAACAACGTTTGTCTTAGGGTTTCTCTTGGGCGACCTCACTTCCTAACTCTATTTGTTTCTAACTGCAGCGCATGTTTTTAATTCTCTGTCTACTCCACTTTAGGATGTTCCCAATACACTGCCATTTATCATTTAGTTTTAAAAATGTGAGAAATAAGACCCCAAACACAATTCTGACCATACCCTTCTTCACGTGTCAGCTGATCTAGTAAAGTAAGTAAAAAGTAAAGGACCCTTTCCCATGCCATCAGGTGTATAGGGCATATAGGGCTAGACCTAAATTTTATAGACCAATCGGCACAACATGGGTGATGTGGTCAGCATCACGAATACCGCCTTTACTTTCCCGGGACTGCACCCGGTACCCACTCAAGGCTGGGTCGACCTGGCAGCCAAGGTCATTTTTTTTTTTTAAAAGTCCGGCTCCACCAGGGAGCAAACCGACGACCTTCTGATCCGCAACGAGCCTCTAGCTGCTCGGCCACGGCGACTCCCAGCTGGTCTAGTATTACATTCTTAATTTGCCAGAATGCTAGAATCTGCCTTGGAATGGATTTTTATAAATGACCTTGGCTCCTGGATTGACCTGGGCTGGATTTAGGTATTCAGTTCAAACAACGGATCAAGATCATGGCATAAGGGTGGTAACCCATCAGTGCTCTGTTATACTTCTAACTTAAAGAGAAATATTATATACCCCTGTTTCCGGATCACAGGTAATGAATCAGGTGCCTGTCCTGCTAAAGGAACAGTTCTCAAACTATGGGTCGTGACCTTTTGAGGGTCAAATGACCCTTTCAAATATTCACTGAAGTTATGAAATAGCAACAAAAATAATTGTATGATTGGGGGTCGATACAAAATGAGGAACTGTAATCAAGGGTTGCAGCATTAGGAAGGTTGAAAGCCACTGTTCTAAAGTAGACACAAAATTCAGCAGTTGGGAATAAAAAAAGATTAGGCCTAACAGGCCAAAAAAAAAAAAAAATATAGGCTAAATTTTAAAATGTATAAACAAGAACATTTAACCTATTTCTTTACTTTGGGCCTTTCCTCTTGATATCTTTGGCACTGTTTATAAGTCCTTGTCTTTTCAACTCCTTCAGTATTTGAAGCCTTGAGTGATTTGATGTGATTTCACCTTTGATCAGATCTAATAAATCCAGTTCTGCAGACAGAAAATAAATCTACACTGGAATATACTGGTTAATATCAAAGAAGCAGTTAATGATTATTAGAAGAAACAGTAGCAATTAATTGTAAGCTTACTTTTATAAAAAAAGAGAGAGGAAATGGAGGTGGTATGAGCGGTAAAGTGAGAAGAAGGTGAAAAGAGAGGGAGAAATTATATGTGAAGAGATAGAGAGTGTGTGAAGGGATGGGAAGAACAGAGAAAAGACGGAGAAAGAGAGAGGGGAAGAAAGACATATGGAGAATAATAAAGTACAAGAGTTGGTCAAAAATGATATCATTCTGGCTGTATAATTTTTTTCTTTAAACATTTAGAAATGATAAATCACAAATATTAAATAATCTCTCAGCTTTTCTGTCAACAAGCTTTCATATTTTTTTTATTTTTTTTTAATTTAAAAATGTTTTGTGCTGAGCTGAAAGACATGAACACACAACTGTCTTAGCTTCTTCAGCAGAGGTGCTTCTTCATGCTCAAAGAGCTGCTTTCAGGGAAAAGTCTAATGGAACAAGATCGGGGTTAAAGAGAGAGAGGCCTTAACACATGATGATGTTCTTGCAGAGATTTAACAGTGTGAGCAGAAGTGTGAAGACACACATTGTCACTGGATAGTTTAGTGTGTTTAATCCTTCTTCTCCTTGTTCACCGGCTGTAAACTCTGGTAGAAATCCTGGGCGTTCATCCACTTTTTGACTTCGGTCTTGTTCTAAAACTTGAGTTTTGTGTGCACATCCATTTGACAGATCTGGTGTATTTGTATGCACACTGTTGGTTCCTCATCCCTCAGGCAGATGCATTTTGACTTTGAAGTAAACACATCTAAATAGTCACTTTTTGCAAAATGTATGTCTGGTAGGAGGGGAGTCAGTGGGTCTGTTTGTGTGTGTGTGTGTGTGTGTGTATGTGCCCCAGAACTAACATGTGGAGCATTTAATCCAAAGTCTAGGCTTCCGCTCTTCAGTGAGCATCTCAATGGATCAAGTACTGTTGACTTTTAACAGTAGAAGGGATAGATCCAACCAACATTCATAAAATTCATGCACTGATCTAGCAATGTAGATATTTATGGAATTAACCAGAGGGGCAGAAGAGAGATGACTTCTTCTTCTTCTTCATCAACTCCTCTTGTACCGATTCAGATGTCTAAAGAGATATAAGGTCCTGCTTCATGTTCTTCTGGCTGCTCTGACCACAGACACATCGTAGTACTGTAGAGTTTCTCTCATGTTATCTTGCCATCATGTTCTTGGTCTACCTCTTGCTCTGTGTCCTTCTTCTCTTTTGGTATATGCCTTGTATGGTAAAGCATCAGGAGGCATTCTCTCCAGTGGGCAAACCATCTGATTTGCTGTGTTCGTATGTCATTAAGAATTGGTTCTGTGCCGACATTATTGTGAATGATCTCATTCCAGATTTTAACTCTTTTGGTCACTCCTACAGTCTTTCTCAGACACCTCATTTAGAGAGATGACTAGCCTGGCTCTCTAGCATAGTTGGTTAAACCTGACTTTCGCGGCGGCCGGGTGATGAATTCCTTGTGGTCCGAGTTCACTCCCAGAGGCAGGCAGAAAAGCCACATTTCTCACAGATTAACAGTACCTAAAATGGAATCAAGGCCGAGGGGTTGCGATATCCATAGTACTGAGCCAAAGGGTTTACAACTCATGGTTTCTAGACACTTAAAAAAAAAAGAGAGAGAGAGAGATGACTAAAGAATTGAAAAAAATCAGAAAACTCTTGACCAGCCCAAAGGTGGGAATACTTAATGATGTTGGTGATGAAGCTACAGTAACACACTCACCAGGGTGTACCACGTCCCTGTACTTTTCAAACAAGGACTGCAACTCCTGTTCTTCATGTTCCGTCCACATTACTTTAACATTTTTGCTAAAAAAAAAACAAAAACATTTTTTAACACTCGTTTTTTGATCTGTTGAACTTCATATTGAGATTTTACCATAGCCGATTTGGATACAGTCTTCAATTTGGAGTGTATGTTTGTCAAGGCATGAGACATTAAGACACAGCACAGAAATATAACTTGATAAGAAAAAATTATCATTGTTTGCAATTTTTTTAATTTATAATTAGCTTCTGTGTTTCAAGTCTATAATTAATGGTGTTTTAGAACATAAAAATAAAATGTGTAAAGGAAAAGGTTATTAAGCAGATGCACAGCAAAAGGGTTACCCCCCTATGCCAGTAAAAATTACACAGAATGCCCTTCTATGTTTCATCTGAAAACTAGCAAGACAGATCAGTCATGTCAAAATCCAGAAGCTCGCACAGAAGGTATACTCATCAGGCAGCCACCAGAGGTGCCAACACAATTGGTCCCTCACAAGAATTGCAGTTAATTATTGGTTTCTTTATTAGTGAAAGCAGTCTGCCACAACAAACTACCAGTTGTCCAAGCACAGGTCCCTCTGAATAAAGGTCCTTACAACTAACTCACGGTACATTTTGGCTGAGTCCCCTTGAAAATTGGTTACTGGAAGAGTTTCCATGTTGCATTGTGTGACATTTTAACGTGCTTACAAAGTTCTGTGTTCTGAATGTATTTCTATTACAAATCGACAAGCAAATATTGTGAAGTAGATATACAAGATTTTCAAACTTTGCTGTTATATTAGATAACAGCAATTTGAATTTAAATTCACAGCAGACAGTCGTGTTGTGATGTGTGTGTCACTGTTTCTAGTCAGTAGTTTGGATTTTTGGGAACTAGCTGTTTATTCTTTTTCTACTTTGAATGTAGAAATCTTACTTTGGGGAGAAATACAAACAGGTAATTTAGAAGCCATATCTGGAGAATATCGACAGTTGTCAGGTGCAAATTATCTTGTGTTGGAAGAAAACTTTTGCTTTCATATTGAATGTTTTCAAATGGTGCAACCACACTGTGGATAAATTGTGTCAAGATATTTCAGAGCTCTCGGTAAGTGTCTAAAAGCAATATTTTATTTACTAACTAACCTCTCACAGCAAGTAGCTCATTGCCTCTTTACTAATTGTTGACTAACAGTATAATTATATGTTGTAGAAGTTCACTAATAATATTATTATTTTTGTGAATTTTCTGCTTCAAAAACACTGGCAGTAAACTCGGGCAGAAACTTCTGGGTGTTCATCTACTTCTTATGCACATTTGAAGTTGTACGGCCTGTGTTCATTTTTGTGAAATTTCTGCTTCGCGAACACTGGCAGAAACTTCTGGTTGTTCATCTACTTCTTATGCACATTTGCAGTTGTATGGTCTGTGTTCATTTTTGTGAAATTTCTGCTTCGCGAACACTGGCTGTAAACTCTGGCAGAAACTTCTAGTTGTTCATCTACTTCTTATGCACATTTACAGTTGACGATCCGTGTTAATTTTTGTGAAATTTCTGCTTTGCGAACACTGGCAGAAACTTCTGGACGTTCATCTACTTCTTATGCACAACTGCAGTTGTAGGGTCTGTGTTCATCTTTGTGAAATTTCTGCTTCGCGAACACTGGCAGAAACTTCTGGTTGTTTATTTACTGCTTATGCACATTTGCAGTTGTATGGTCTGTGTTCATTTTTGTGAATTTTCTGCTTTGCCAACACTGGCTGTAAACTCTGGCAGAAACTTCTGGGCGTTTATCTACTTCTTATGCACATTTACAGTTGTACGATCTGTGTTAATTTTTGTGAAATTTCTGCTTTGCGAACACTGGCAGAAACTTCTGGACGTTCATCTACTTCTTATGCACAACTGCAGTTGTAGGGTCTGTGTTCATCTTTGTGAAATTTCTGCTTCGCGAACACTGGCTGTAAACTCTGGCAGAAACTTCTAGTTGTTCATCTACTTCTTATGCACATTTACAGTTGTACGATCTGTGTTAATTTTTGTGAAATTTCTGCTTTGCGAACACTGGCAGAAACTTCTAGTTGTTCATCTACTTCTTATGCACATTTACAGTTGTACGATCTGTGTTAATTTTTGTGAAATTTCTGCTTTGCGAACACTGGCAGAAACTTCTGGACGTTCATCTACTTCTTATGCACAACTGCAGTTGTAGGGTCTGTGTTCATCTTTGTGAAATTTCTGCTTCGCGAACACTGGCAGAAACTTCTGGTTGATTATCTACTTCTTATGCACATTTGCAGTTGTATGGTCTGTGTTCATTTTTGTGAATTTTCTGCTTCACGAACACTGGCTGTAAACTCTGGCAGAAACTTCTAGTTGTTCTAGCTGTACACTTCTGGTTGTTCATCTAATTCTGGACTTTAGTCTTGTGTATGTTTCACAGCAGTATTTTTATGTGCTAAATTTGATATAATACAAATCTCAACCAACAAAAGCAGATTGCAAGTTCAAAATAAAACCAGCACCCCGTCATGTTTCTGTATATGCAAATCACAATAAAAAATACCACATACTTCCAGTCCATATATGAGGAAAATGTATCAGCAAACTGTGGCCAGAAGCAAACAACTTTTAAAAGCTTTAATAGACCATCATATCAGTTCATGGGTCTAACTTCATCGCAAATGGATTACCCCATAATTGTTACTTTCCATGTCAGTGAAAACTACACAAAATGGCCATTCTATCCCATATAAAGTCAGACAGCAGTCTCTGCAAAATCAAACAGCTCATTAGTGCATAAAATACATAAGGCAGCAGCTAGATGTACCAAAACCAACAGTCTGTCACCAGAATTGCAATTCACAACTGACAGCAATAACAACAAACCAGCAGGTGCACACCTATTACAGCATAAGGTACACTGCTAATTCTGTGGCAACCAGCCATTTCTGAATGTGCCTTTTTGATGAAACCTAGAAAAGTCCACAGAATGAAGGTGCAGTAATTATGGGCAAGAGAGGATGGAGACATTCGGACACCCAGACTATAATGGACAGGATGTCCCAATAAGCAGAGGTCAGACAGCAATTGATCTAACTGCCTAAGTGACAGATGGCTCTTATGGTTTCTTGGAAAGTTTTGCAGAAGGTAATTTGCCAGTGCTTTCCTTCTGGAAAGTGACTGTACTAGTCAGTGGCCATAGCCATTGTCTCTGTTGATGAGATCATCTGCCTATCGCCATAGCATGTCGTAGCATGACCATAACCAACAACAATCTGTCGGCTGCTCTCACACTCCATCCACCACCTGCTTCCATGGCTTCACGTAACCATGACTGGGGGATGGGGGGGGGGGGGGGGGGGGGTAAAGGGCACTCCACCTTGCCCAAGGGTGTCCCGTAGACAAACAGAGGAGAAGAGGCGTCTTACATCTCCTTTGATAGGGGAGGGGAGGTAGGATACCCCAATAAGCAAATAATGGAACAATAATGGAGAGGTATATGCCTGGGAAGAGAGGAAATGGAAGGTCAAAGAGAAAATGGGTGCAGGAATTGGCGAATGATCTCCAGATGGGTGTATCAGACGGGGGAACATCTTGCTTGTGATCGAGAAGTTTTCTGGAGGGTTGTTATGGGAGCAAGGTTCTGCAAAGGACAGGCTACTGACTGACTGACTGACTGATCGACTGACTGACTGACTGACTGATCGACTGACTGATCGACTGACTGACTGATCAACTGACTGACTGACTGATCGACTGACTGACTGATCGACTGACTGACTGATCGACTGACTGACTGACTGACTGATCGACTGACTGACTGATCGACTGACTGACTGATCGACTGACTGACTGACTGATCGACTGACTGACTGAACGACTGAGATGACAGATAAGTAAATAAATATCATTTACCTTTTCTGCTGGAAGTTATAATCAGTAGCTATCGCCAAGGCTTCAGATTTTGATTTCCAAAAAAGGAGATCTACAAAGAGCTTTTTGTTGACTGCTGCCACACTTGTGAACTGCCTCACAACATAGCAAGCAAATTTGGTCATTTCCTGAAAATCATATAAAAATAAAGTTTTGATTATAAAGATGAAAAATGGGTATACAGAAGAATTGTCGTATTTCATGGAAAGAAAAACAAAAATAGAGGTTCTGAAGAGAGTGGTAATGACAAGAGTTAAAGGAAACATAAATGAGGCAAGTGAAATGAGTTCCACAATGGTAAAAAACATAATACTTTTATAAAAAACCATAATGGGTGGGAAGATACTGTGGGTAGATTTCACAGCCTAGCTGCAAACAACAATACAATGTCCTAATTACCCCTTTAAGAGTGAACACTGACAAAGAAGATCCTTGCCTGTGCTACAGAATGTACGAACGGTGAGCAGTCTCCCCTTATGGTATCTGTGGGTTAGTTAGTTGACAGATCATCCTCATTGCACATTGAACCAAGCAGTTTGTATGTGCTCGGATCCCCTCCTTAGTAAATTCCGCAGCGTGTAGCGGCTCCTCCAGTTCTGTGTTGGTTTCTTATTCCTCTTTGGCTTCCTGCAAAGCACTCTTGTCTGACCACATGTCTTATTCTTGCAGTCTGGTCATGGTTGCAGATTCACAATCATCACTTGGTTCTCACAAACTTCTTACTTCTTGCAGAGCATTCAGAATATCAGCATGGTCCAATGTTCATCTGCCCTCCACAGAAGCTTTATCTGCAAACCGATCAGCTTACTCATTTCCTTGCACATTTGTGTGCCCTGGCACAAATATGAAAGTGATATGTGTCAAATTCGACCGTTCTAGAGACTCCAGCCACTGCCTCCTGATCCAGCCCTTCTGTATCTTTCGGAGCATACTCATTGAGTCAGTGAGAAAGCATTCACAGGAAAAGGTCTGTGTCTCCAGCCATGATAGTGCTTTGATGACTGCCATGACCTCCATAGGCAGACTACTTGTGGTCAAGGCAACAGCAGCAGAATCTTGCTTTACAATTTTAACTCCTGCCTGAACCGTAAAAGCCCAAGCGCTTCTCACATGGTGAATTACAGATCCAGCTTTGTATATGACAGCATTTCCCTCTAGAGAAGTTGAGTTCAGTTTCGCAAGTCCGAGTCTCCTCCACTTCCTCTTCTTCCACGTCACTGATATCATCTTCACCTTCCTCTTGTCCAGTGTTGTCCTGACTTGCTATTTGGGATCCTGAGAAGAAGAAAATGCACACAAGTGGTTCCTCTTTTCTTCTTTTGCTCTTTACTACCTACTGGAGCATAGAGCTCCAACTTAGAAACAAAAACTATCCACAAAATTTTGCAATGTTTGAAAATGAACTCTCTAGTCATCTTACCTGATATCTTTGTAACTGACAGTAATGACTTTGCAACAGGGTGTTGAAGGTTCTAAACATAGAAGCCTGGAACAGCATACCGACAAAGCCAAGGTCATGAGATAAGCGGTGCAGCATTTTGATAACACAGTGGTTGATGTTGTCTGAATTTGTCGTAAATTCTGCCAACAAGATGGCATACTTCTTGATCACCTCCGGGTGAGCAAAACTGCAAAAAAAAAAAAAAAAAGTTAAAGAACAAAGGTAAAATAAAAAGATGCAAGAATGGTAATACAACATGAACAGTTTTACAAGAATGGTTTTACAACAAAAACAGTTATATATCAGAATGGTTATACAAAAAGGACAATTATACAAAAAAGAATAGTTAAACAGCGAGAATGCTTATACAAGAATGGTTATACAAAAACAACTGATAGAATGATTATACAAAAAAGAACACTGAATAGAAAAGTATAACACGAATTGTTATACAACAAGAACAGTTATACAACAAGAATTTTAAAAAAAACCATTATACAGCAAAAATCATTATACAACAAGAACCACTATACAACAGGAACCAATATACAATAAGAACCATTATACAACAAGAACCATTATACAACAAGGACCATTGTACAACAAGGACCACTATACAACAAGAACCACTATACAACAAGAACCACTATACAACAAGAACCACTATACAACAAGAACCACTTTACAACAAGAACCATTATACAACAAGAACCATTGTACAACAAGAACCATTAAACAACAAGAAACATACAACAGGGACCACTATACAATAAGAACCATTACACAACAAGGACCACTATACAACAAGAACCACTATACAACAAGAACCACTATACAACTAGAACCACTATACAACTAGAACCACTATACAACAAGAACCACTATACAACTAGAACCACTATACAACTAGAACCACTATACAACAAGAACCACTATACAACAAGAACCACTATACAACAAGAACCACTATACAACAAGAACCACTATACAACAAGAACCACTATACAACTAGAACCACTATACAACTAGAACCACTATACAACTAGAACCACTATACAACAAGAACCACTATACAACTAGAACCACTATACAACTAGAACCACTATACAACAAGCACCACTATACAACTAGAACCACTATACAACTAGAACCACTATACAACTAGAACCACTATACAACTAGAACCACTATACAACAACCAAAACACTATACAACTAGAACCACTATACAACAAGCACCACTATACAACTAGAACCACTATACAACTAGAACCACTATACAACTAGAACCACTATACAACTAGAACCACTATACAACTAGAACCACTATACAACTAGAACCACTATACAACTAGAACCACTATACAACAAGCACCACTATACAACTAGAACCACTATACAACTAGAACCACTATACAACTAGAACCACTATACAACTAGAACCACTATACAACAAGAACCACTATACAACTAGAACCACTATACAACTAGAACCACTATACAACAAGCACCACTATACAACAAGAACCACTATACAACTAGAACCACTATACAACTAGAACCACTATACAACTAGAACCACTATACAACAAGAACCACTATACAACTAGAACCACTATACAAGAACTATTATACAACAAGGACCCCACCCATCACCCTCACACATCTTTTCCCTCTAAACACAGGAAGATCTGTATAGGTAACCAGATCGTCTGGGCGAGAATTGTAAATCAACTATTGGACTTTCACCTCCGCTGGCCACTCTCTGCACTGCCGAGAGTCAACAGGATGCAGTACATAAACACTTGTAGGCTATCAAGGTCAGAAAGCGGTGGAGGATTCTGATTACCAAAACTTCCATCATTTAGATTTGGGAGAATAAACTTCATTGCTCTAGGTTTTATCCCATATGACTCAAGTCTCTTTCCACAGAAAGGCCAGCCACCTGCTGGCAGTATCACACAAAGCATCTTCTTTTTCTTCCCACTCATCAGCTATGAACCAGGGGAAGTTCTATTTGTTCCTCTTCTTCACATTCACCGGCTGTAAACACTGGCAGAAAGTTTTGGTTGTTCAACCACCTCTGGACGTGGGACTTGTTCAAGAACCTGAGATTTCCGTGCACAGCCGTTTTACAGATCTGGCTTAACTGTATGCAAACTCTGGGTTCTTGGCCTCTGAGGCAAATGCATTCCAAATTTCCTGGGAAACACCCCCAATTAATAGACTCTATAACAACATGCTTGTTGTTATGAAGATTGCTAACACACTAACAAAATACTAGCATTTTGTTAGTGGGCAATGGGTCTATTCCCCCTCCCCCCCCCCCCCCTCCCAAACCTCTTTTCACCCAACTTTTCTTTTCCCGCCCAGACCCCAGAAGATGATCTGAGATGACAATAAGATGAGATTTTGACTTACTCTGCGATGAAAGCATTAAAGTTCAATTCAGTTTCGCAAGTCCGAGTCTCCTCTATTTCCTCTTCTTCCACGTCATTGATATCATCTTCACCTTCCTCTTGTCTAGTGTTGTCCTGACTTTCTATTTGGGATCCTGCGGAGAAAAAAATCCACATAAGTGATTTTTCTTTTCTTCTTCTGCCCTTTACTGCCTTATGGAGCTTAGGCCCCCTACTCAACAAGCTATTTTCTGATTCTTCTTCACTATAGAAAAACATTTTTTTATTTAAAAAGTTAGTTGCATAACCTTTACAGGAAGTTGCAGAATCAACTTTTTTTTGGCTGTTGCAGTTTTTCTAGGCAAATTTTACTTTCAGTAGTTTGCCACTGCTTACTGAGTAGTTGGCTCTCTGTACCACTGTCAAAACCAACGCAAGACAAACCCTCCGCAGCTGGGATTGAACCCAGCACTACGAAGCGCATTCGCAACGCATAGAATGAATGTATATGCTATTAACTTTGCTGAAACTGCAGCCTGTTTTAACATTGTCATGAGAGACAGCAATGAGCATTCTGTTTTTGTCAGCTAGGGAACATAAAAATTACGGGCTGACTCATATACAAAGTCAGAATTACAACTGACTGACTTATCGAAAATAATTTCAATTGCAATGAAACATAAACAGTGTTGTGCTATATGTAACCTGTGTTGTGATATACATGTCATTTGGAGTAAACAAGGCAGGCCGGGAGAGGGATCACGATACATGGGCAACATATGGTCTCTACAACACTGCCCAGGCTTTCTGCTATGGCAAAGCTGCCGTAATGTAGTGGCTAGATGCTTGCCTGTGGATCCTAAGGTCGTTGGTTCAGGTCCTGGCAGCTCCCAGGTCGACCCAGCCTTAAATGGGTGCCAGGTATAGTCCTGGGAAGCAAAGGCAGCCGGCATGATGTTGAAACTTCACCCATGGAGTGCCAATTGGTCTTTAAAATATAAGTCCAGCCATGAAAGTGTGGAGAAGTGTTCTTTACTTTCCTTTTACTTTGTGCTATGGGGAAGAGGTTTTAACTGTGGAAGACTTTTCTTAATGCAGGGGGGCTCTTGCTAGTCACCCTCGCTACCACCATGGTCTGTGAGTCTCCCATGCCTCCTGATAGCACAATTTAACACAAGCGTTTAGAAAGACGGAAAGGTGCCAACCAACTGACAAGCATGTGAGACACGGACAATAAGCAGACAGGCTGTAAAGAGAAACATTCTCAATGGAGCAATAATCTCTACTCTGCAGCTTCAGCTATGACACCTTGGGAACTCCAAAACATCTAAACACACACAAAGCAAACAGGGAAGTTGAAATTGACCTTCTGAGAGTAAGGCAACCGATTTAACCTTATTCGGTACCAAACAACTCCTCCTTGTATCCTGGTCATTCCAAAGAATATATAAAACATGGCGTCCCATTAGTTTACAAAAAAGTAAAGGGCCTTTTTTCACACCTGCGGGTGTGTTTGACAGACAGGGCTAGACCTAAACTTTTTTTTTTAAACTCTTTGAGTCCCGAGGAACGCATCATACGTTCATAGGTTACTGCCTAGAAGCCCAATGAACGCATGATGCGCCGATTTTACGTCTCTTTTGACCTCCCCTTGGGCCTGTGATGCTAAATCCTCTGGGACTCAAAAGAGTTTATAGAGCACTGGGTGTGATGTGGTCAACATCACACCGGCCCCCTTTACTTCCCAGGACTTTAGCTGGTACCCATCTGAGGTTGGGTCAACCTGGCAGCCATGATCACATTTTTTTTTTAGTCCGGCTCCGTCAGGACTTGAACTCACACCACCACCTTTGGATCCGGAGGTGAGTGTTTAACCGCTACACCACAACAGCTGCCCTTAAGTTTACATACACTGGAAACAAATTAACATATCGCCATTGCCATCGCTAGTATAACTCCAGCTGTGCTTGTACGTGTTCTTCAGCAGGTGAGGACATGACAGAAATGTGTTTTCAAAACAACGGTAGTCACAAACAGCATACTGCAAAAATTAAAAATGGCTTTCATAAAAAGTGTTTATTTTTCGTACACACAGAAACTGTGGTCATGCTATGAGAAGAGTGAAAACGGAACATGTGACCACTGAAAAAATCTGTAGAAAGAGACTGAGGAAGACAGCACGTGAATATTCTTGACCATCTTTCGTCATAACCCGGAGGGGTGTCAGCACATGAACTGATACATGCAGTTGCAGATCGCAGATTGTGGAGAGGGATAATCGCCCACGCCAGTCGGTAAGGCACTTGATGATGATGATGGTTAGAAACTTATGGGACAGCCTGTATAAAATAATATCCTTGCATTCTTCCATCTCAGACCATTGTATTTGTGCTTTTAGTTTAATACTTCCAACGACTCACAGCGTCCTATTGAATATCTTCAGATGTGCATATCTGTTCCTTTTAAGCACAACTTAACAGGGACAGAAACAGTTACACTAATAATTATTCGTATTGATACTGTTTCCTGATCTTCAGAAGCGAATCATGGACAGTTGGACGATTAGTAATTAAAATTAGTTGGAAGCGGCATAGATGTGGTATTTTTTTTTTTTTTTTTTTTTTTTTAATGAAAGTTGTTTTGAAGGAAACTGACTGCTCACATAAGGAGACAATCTAAATTCTCTGACCATGTCATGAGAAGGACAAACTGGAGTACATCCTGACAGTGGAAAAGTTGGAGGAGGGAAAAAAGGCAGAGGGAGAGTGAGAGAGAAGATGCCGGACAGTCTGACATCATGGCATGGAAAATGATTTGTGTTAGAACTGACTGAAAGCACACGAGACAGACGAATGGGGATAGACATGGCTAAATATGCCCCACGACACAGACTATAAAAGAAAGAGTCAATCATTAATCACTACACCGAGAAACCAAGTTTGGGACCCCAAAAAAAGTACAAATAAACAAAACACGACATCAACCTTGCGTGCTGGAGGTCCATGGTTCAGGCCTAGGTAAGGGCTGGAATTTTTTCATGTGGGCTTCTAGTAATTTTCCCTGGCTCTGGCTAGTAAGATCGGACATTCATGCGTATTATCGCGCACGTAAAAAAAATCCCTTGGCAGTTGGAAACCAAAAAGAGCAGCCTAACAATGCTGTAAACATTTGGAATTAAAAATCTACCTAAAGTATTTCAGGATCCTCACCAGTGCTATGGAGTCTGTGTACTGCGCTGAGATTCTTCAGGCTCAGGCTTGAATTAGAAATAGAACGCAGCACTTATGGATTACTACCCTTGTGCCATGATGTTGATCCATTGTTTAAACCTAAAACCTTAATAAAAAAAATTGTGCAATCTAAGACCAATAGTCGTTGGGTGCCTTTTACAACATCTATGATAAACCGTAGTTACTGTTGTTTGTTTTCCTTGCTGGTTCTGGCACCACATTTTCAATATACTGTCTGAAAAACTTAATAACAATTCTCTTAATGGCAAGGGTGTTGCAAAACAACAAGCTCTGAAAGTGTTTTATGTCACCACGCTCTAATATTAGTGTACTTAAGCTTAACACTTTTGCCCTGCCAACACTTTGAAAAAAATTGGCCGTCGGCCATAACAATTCTGCTCCCCTGAAAAATTCTTTTAACACAAAATGTTTTTCACAGGACACTTAGAAAAAGTAAAACCATTTATTTGAGCACATTTTTTAAATTATTTTTTTTTCTCAAAATATAAGGGAGCAATCAATAAACGTGAACAGAGCGAAGCAATAAATGGAATACATCCCCTAGGGTTCTCAACCATCCTATTGCCGTGACTCAAATATAGTTCATCATTTTTTGCCCCCCCCCCCCCCCCCCCCCCCCCCCCCCCCATACAATTATATTTTTTTTCTACTTCCTATATTCCTTTTGTGAATATGTATTTTCTGATGGTCTTAGGCGACCTTTGTGATAGGGTCGTTTGACCCCCCAAAAAGGGATATAACCCATAGGTCGAGAACCGATGTCCTAGGGCAAAAATAACAATTTTGAAGTGACTCAAGTCATGACCCTGTGATTATATTTAGCTTAATAAATTTGGGGCATCTTCGGCTAAGGCACTGTGAATGAGATTCGTAATGGCGGAGTGCTGGGTTCGATCCAAGGTGCTGATGATTTGGCAGCAGACTGCCTTGCGGTAGTTTCGACAGTGGTATCAACAGTAAACAATGGCAAATTACTCGACCTAAATTTAAACTGAAAAACCACAACAACCACCTAAACCACTTTTATTCCTGGATTAGTTATCCAAAGCATTACACCATCCACGAGAAAGCAGAAAGGAAATGACAAATCCGGGGCCGCCCTCCACAGAGACAACTGGCTGGGCAAGATGTCTCCACAGATTTCAAGCACTTCAGTGTCCTCAAGGAAGGTCAACAACACTCACGTACTAACGGTGGCAGCTCATGCCAACAAGGGTGAAGGTCAAGGGCTGTAAGTTTCTATTTCTGAATTACAACATTAACTACCAGTGCAAAACAGTCGGAAATCGTGATGGTGGTTGTGAAGTGTATGTGTGTTGTGTGTGTGTGTGGATATGTGTGGGAGGAAACACTAGCTGCAAGCATTGCAACATACAATATTCTTATCCCTTTCCCATCTTCTGCGTCACTTGAAAAACAAGCGGGAAAGACATTTCTTATCGGATAAAGCTTCAAGCTGATACCAGCAACCAGATATGATTGGTGCTGCTTTATAATGTATTACTTCAAAGCCCTATTCTAACAAATCTTTTCTCTTCTCTTCATTCATACCCTTTCTAGTGCAATAGAGCACAGACCCTCAACCAACTCACATGAAGCAGATCTGTTTCCCCAGCTGGTTGAATTTTCTACAGGATGTGGTGACCTCTGTGAATAGCATGGATCTTCACTGACTATATAACCCAGATCCGTTCCAGGAATGGCCCATCAAAGGAATTTAAAACAGGATAAAGACTAACCAAATGGGACCTCAGCCAGGACTCAAAGGAAAGACCCCCCCCCCCCCCCCCCCCACAACCAATAAAAATTAAAGTTAAAAAAAGAGAGATGACCAG